GTGTAATCACGATAATAGCGCACTTTCTTTGATTGTGTTAACTGATAAATTGATAAATTAGGCCGTATGACTATATCTTCACAGTGAAACAAACGTCTCAGCGATTTATAATTTGTCACTGGGATTCGAATTTTGTGGTTGCATCATTGTGCTTGCCTAAACATGAATGTGGTATGAATAACGTTCAATTCGGATCCTCTGACATATTTCAGATTTTCGGAACTAGACCTGCACAAGAATAATCAAGGTAGTAGGCCACGTGATACTGATGGAAATTTCTGAATATCGGAATTTTGTAGGCGAACCATTATTGTATTTCTCAAATTCCATACGACAGACTATCTTTGATTTTCTGTAGACTCTAATCTTTTCGGATAAGGACTGAAGCAATGATTCCAACGATATCGTACTGATTTAACTCAAGGATTTTAGGTGAACGCCTGTGAGACATCTGCTCAAACGTATTATTTCAGTTGATACAGATCTCCTTACCATGTTGATGAACTTATTGCGGTGATGGCATTCAGTTTGCCAGCATTTTGTAATACTTCTTAGATGGTCAATTTCCCAAAGATATCGACACGATTGAACTTTTCATACGTTTCAGCTCCCATCACCTAGATTCTCAAAGACCGTACAAGTAATTAACTTGAAGAGAAAGATTACCAACATTTGAGGCGATTTGCACTGCACCTCGACAGGTGAGTAACGGTAGGTTTATGACGAAGAAAACATGCGTTGGTCATTATCTTCAGTACATTAGCAGCAGAAAACTGATCTGACATATAGGGAGAATTTATAATCGGTCTCAACGAGATACTGTGAGATCTTTGCAGATGAGTTTGGTTTTAACGATTCAGCAGAATATCCCAGTCAAGTAGGCAATAATTGGGTTGAAACTTAATGATCGACTTATGTTCATCTTAGCTGTTTTTTGACTGGTGACCATGACGAACATTGAAAAACGTTTTACAAATTTAGGTAATAATCACACATAATAGCAACAAGGACGCAATTATGAAAGAAAGCATCAGTTCGCGTCCATTGTGAGAATTCAGAATAAACTTCAATGTTGAGAAACATGTAAAAGATAAACCTTGAATCAATTCACTAATCAAGATGTGTCTAAATAGATTCCACCAACTCAAATCCAGAGAATTTTGCAGTTATGATTATGAAAATCAGTTCCTATATGATACATGAAATAAGGAGCAGAAAGGGTGTAAGGAATTATTTCACGTATAAAGTCACTTCCATTCTGATTGCATAAACCAATGTTAAGTTGTGGAAATAGCCATCTGACATGTGATGAATTACTTAGATGTGAATATGAGTTTTAGTGTCAGCTGAACACAGGTTAACTAAGGGTGGTCCATACTGATTATCTCTTCGGGGAAAAACAAGCGAAGCTACCAATAGAAGTTTTCACATACAAATATTATCATTTGCATAAGAAAACCAGATGAATGATATATTCAGTAGGTAATTAGCGGATGCTGACTAGCAGTTGAATCCAGGATGTGCGTTTCCCCTATTTAGAACTCGCCGGCTTGGTGTTCCTGCACTCCGCAATTAGTGAAGTTGTTCCCATCAAGGCACGGACCCAGTGGCCATAGTCCTTAAAACCGTAGTGTTATTCAGTCGCCCACTTAGACAATGAGAGCCATCTCTTGTGGAACGGGTCAAATGAATTATTTAATTCAATTTTCAACTGTCTCTTAGTTTGAATTAAATGATATACTAAGTGTTGAAAAGTATTTGTCACCTCTAATAATTATATGGATTTGCGAAAATAAACAGACACTGGACAAACGGAAAGAGTAGAAAGTATGCTTTTTAACAACGTCAGACTTACGCTGACACTATCCAATTTGAAAAGCAATTGCATAGTGAAATCCGTTAAATAAGAGGCTTCTCAAATAATGAAAATGCAGCCAACATCAGAAATGCAAATGTTAATCTAGATGAAAACATATCTCTTCCAATCTACCTCTCTTGAGGGCAAGTGGAATAAATGGCACTTTATTCACTTTTCATGCGTAATTTCACCAGGAAGAAAATTGAATATAAAATTCCGACAAGGGTTCACTCCGTTTGGCAGATAACTAATTATTCTCCCAATACGCAGGACCTCTACTCCGAGTGACCACCATCTTCTAATTTTAATTAATTTTTTTAAATTTTGTTTACAGCTTGATTCCACACCATATTTTTGGTACAATTACGAAATTTTCGGCATGGATATCGGTAGCTCAAATTTCGCAGGCCGACCATAGATATCAGGTGTGCGTCGGCAGGGGATCGAACCTCGGACCATGTGCAGGGTCGGCGAGAGTCCTAACCACAGTGCCACTGACGCATGAGTTTCAGCTTATCCAGCCTAATAGCATACTGATGTCGGAAGCAACACACTTGATTGCCTAAATACGTTTTCCCCCACAATCATCATCAACGCAGAATTCTGGGTGTGCAAATATGAATTTCGCAGAAGTTATCCCTCATCTTTCCGATCATTCAGAAATATAAAATACATCATGAGCATACAACCTAATTTTTTGTGTGATTTGATAAGCATCACAAGTTAAAGAAATTGAAATAATAAACTATCAATAATAACGGGAGTATCGTTTTATGACCACAGCTTTGCAAATCACAGTATTTGTAATCAGCACGGTTTAGTATAAAAACATTTTATGAGTTCGCCTTTGAACAAATTATACCAAATTACTTTTCTTCACCCGTTCAGTTTATTGTATCAAGCTGTGAACAGTAAACAAAGAAATCCTTTATTGTTCCGACAACGTTTCGAGTTTCAAAGTTGTGAACTTTAGTCAGCAAATAAATATTGTTTTGAACATCATTGTTATTGTTATTATATAACATCTAATTATTAACAGTGATAAAATCTTATTCATGTATATGGTTTAATGGTCGTTAGATCATAATTCAATCGATATTATATGCATAGATTGATTAAACTCACCGCCATAAATTGAAGACAACTATTATGAGCGACAGTGAATACATTCTACATTCGGTACTTCATTTGTGGTATTACTGAAACAATATTGAACTAAAAATGTCTTTTATTAGAATCTTCGTTTAGTTATGTGAGTTATTGTTATGTGGAAAAAAATATTAAACTGACGCAATAATGGATAACGTTTCTTGCTTCAGAGGAGCAAGAAGTAGTCTAATCTGATATTACATCTTCCAGATCTGGTATGACAACCTCAATTATCTGTAATTCATGACGTAGCCTCGTTGATTAGTACTTCAGTGAGGAAATCCCCTCTAAATTAGAATCGTCAAAGGAATATTAGATTATTCCTTAATTACTGATAGGAATAGTTTCTCTGCATTAGATTGTCATGAAGTGGACAACTCATCCACAGAAATATCTGCCTAGCGTACAGCTGCCATTCACCCATTTGGTGACTTTACTATGATTTTTTGTGATCACGATATGAAATGCTTATATTGTTCAGTCATTCCGACTATTATTTACTAAATCATTCTTAAGTTGCAGATGATGAGAATGTCTTAAATTTTACTACAAATAATGGTGGTTTTGTTAGTATAATGGTAACAAAATATAAGTTCTATGAGAGAATTCTCAATTCATAACTTTCACGTGTTAAAGATCAGATATTCGCCAAGGTTTTACAAACGTTTCGATGTGATACTGAATTGGTCACACTGCATGAATCGAAAATGGTGTCAATAATTAATATGAGCTTTATCGTAATGAAAATCAGAACACAGTTAAAAATCCACTGCTCACCTAATGCATCAGTAAACAACACAGTGCAGCCACTGGGAAGTAACACAAGGCCATTGAATTTGAGATATTTCAATTCAAAGCTCTAACATTCTTCCAAACGACTGAAAGTTAGACGAGCTCATTTTCTAAACTGAAGTCATTGCATTCCAATCCCAGGTGGCCAATTAGTGTGTCCTGGTGAATAGTTCTGAACTAAATGTGAACAGCCCTTCAGTGCTGCATGATTTCCTGTGATTCTCTAACTGATACCGATCTGTGATCAAACTTAAAACTAATCAATCCCTTCAAACTGACACTAACATTCGAAATCATCCTCGCAGTGCATAGTTTCGCAAATACAACAAATACTACTGTAAAAGGCCATAGACACTGTGAATACTGCGACGTTTCAAGTAAAATGGATGAAATGTAAAGGACAACCCACCGCTATACATCACTGCTAGTCATACTCACAATAGAACTCTCAATTACACCTCGTATTTTGTTTATCAAGCGAGCTAGAACATGTCTTCCAGTTATCTCAATACAGTTACGAAGATGTTTTGTTGACCACTAACTGCGTACTTTGTACTATTACAGGTAAACGAGCAGTAAATTTTCGTTGATTACATGGAAAAATGCTGAAGAACGGACTAAAGCGTGAATAACGGTGAAATACACAGTAGGAAAGGAAAACATTTTGACACGCTTACAGAACTGGTCTAAATAAAACCTGTTAAACAATCAACATGCTCCATAACAAATAAACAAGATGGTACTCTTATCTGAAATTCTCATTTGAAAGTGGACAGAATAAGTTTCTAAAGTTCTAAAATTGTGTTCATCTTCTCTCAAAATATTTCGAATATCCGGACCAGATAAACTAAATAGGTTGAGGAGTAGCGCCATTTTCGTTGTTCTCACCGCAAACGTTTCTTCAGTACTCAATTTCTTCGTCTTCCGGTAAATGATGATCGCATATTGTGCCTTCTTTACAAAACCTTCCTGAAAAGACTGCATATTTTGAACTTTTGTTATTATGGAATATTAAACTACTAACAGATTTCTCTATCATTTGGAGATCACTAAGGCTTCTGAATTTCCGTATGATAGTAACGTTTTCCCACACATTCGGATTCCTTGAGGTCGCCTTTAGGTTTTGAGGGATTTAAATAGATTTCTCATCATTCTTTAGGACGTCGAACGGCCTGTGGACGTAGTTGTGCGCCACAACAGTCCGGTAGCATATTAAAAATACAGAATGGTGTGGAATCCGAATCGTATTCTGTACAAAAATGAACACCATGGCATCACTATGAGTGCAGTTACATTCTTGATGTGAATTTCAGCATGCCAACAGTTCACTTTGTTGTCGACTTCAACCTATCATCACCTTTTCAACAGTCGAGTCGTGTTGAATTTTTAGAAGTATTCGTGATTACTTTGATTTCACTCCGTTGAGACAACAGTATTTTCGCAATTTTCCAACGTAGTGTTATGCACAACATGTTTACATCTGTTTTTTTCTCCAAATGACATTAGACGTTGATCTTTCAGCTTGTACAAGTATTTTAGTGACCAGTTTATTGATTAACGCGCCACTCATATTCCCAATGGAATAAAAAGAAACTTGTGTGAAGCCAAGCTGTAGGCTCTTTTGGTTCCGGATACTATGATATAAGACGTGAAGTTTAATTTATGAGGCCTACCGCCAAAGGTTATTGTGAGTTGTTTGTGGTTACACGTCTGTGCTGCAAAAAGCAAGTCTTCATCATCAGACGATGAATGAACTGCAGGCAGGTTTCACTATGTTGGGGACTGTTTCTGCCCCGATTAACTTCCCACAAACGTTCTGGCACAAAACCAACGGGATGCCAGTCCAAAATATTGGTTAATGGTCACAATTACTTCAGTTTAAACACTTCAACACATGAATGACTGTAAATATTCATATACGCGTATAACAGAGAATCCATGGATATAAGAAGATCAGTTGTATATTTCAGAGCTATTTAACAAGAGGTTATGTAAAAATTTAACGTGCATTCTGTTGTTTAGGAGAAATAACTGACATGAGTACTAATGAATAAATAGCTAAGAATATAAGTGTAATAAAAAACCACAGGAAAAATGCTTGGTTGACTGCAGAACAGACTGCCAAATCAATAAATGTGAAGCACCCTCGCAGTCCATTTGCCGTCATGAACAAACCCTATAATTATAAGAATACGATTTTCAAATGAACCTCTTATTTGGAAAGATGGTGTGTCTGCGTGTGTTATGAAACAAAAATCTCGTTACTGTTAGAAATTTCATCAGAGATGCCCCCAGGATTTGTACATCTTCAGGTGTTGAATCATCAACTCAATATGTTTAGTCCAAATATCATTCCCTAATTTGTATTAGTAAAAGTTATTGTACACAAAGTGAGAAATATTTGCGATCCATATGATATATATTTGTGTATATGCGACGTATTACTTACAGAAACTCTAAATAAATGTGTACATTCCTTTGGCCGAGACAACGGCAGCCCAGATCTTATACCAGAAGTTCGGTTCTAGCCATTAGAATGAAGTACTCGATTTCTGATCGATAAGAAGTTTCATTATTGAGAGCAACCTCTCAGTAGTTTCCATGTGGCCATAACTCCAAAGATTTTCAGAAAACAAATACGAACATCAATGTATGATAGACATCCAGATTCTGCTTAAACACCAAATTCCTGCCTTCAATATACAAAAGGAGATCTGTTACAGGCTTAATCGTGTGCTGACATTGGTCAGAGGACCACTGGAAAACCAAGAAATACTGAACCTTGATGAAACCCTGGTTTGACGCTTTTCAGCAGTACGTGACATCCAGCCATCGGGTTGAGTCTCAGTGGCTGAATTTTCTAAGGACTCGCCTTGTCACTGGAGGTCCTGGGTTCAAATTGCGATGATTGTATTGGCCGTGTGGACGAAGCAACTGTCCACTACTTCCCGTTTTCCCAACAGTTCTCTAACTGATGTCGTCTTGTGACTAAACCAGTGACGAATCAAGTCCGCACAAACCCACATTTAATAATAACTGTGTCTCAGTATTCTTTGCCTTTTTCAAGCAAACTAAAACTCATTTCTCTCTTTTCACATGTGTGCTTATCTTTTTAACAATAATGGATGAGGATGGTACCTTCTCACCAAATGAAGAGTTTCAGCGTGTTCTCACATCAGAGTGAGTTCAGTCACGTTCAGGAGATCACTTGCCACGCTGTCAGCTCTTAATTCCAGCGGTCGAGATGAAGCATTCAGGCACTAAATATCTGGGGAAAATCATACACCCTCGCTGTTTCTCTTTCATATTCTACATATGACAGGCTCCATATCTTTTTGATGAAAGGGGCGATATTATGCAATAACGCAAATGTAAATTGAATATAACAGACAACTTACTAACGCTGCACAGACGCCAAGGCAAATGATGCTGAGGATTTCTGAAGGAAGTTAGAAGACGAAAAAAACAGTATTCTCTCAATTCAAACTATAGAGAAAAGAGACGCTGGAAAAAGACCGTTGACACTACCTACATCCAAGTAGCCTAGAACTCCTGATTAGGCCATGTAAAGTGAGTGATACTCAGCGAAGAGTTACTCTGATTGAGCTGCATACTTTGCGTCACATTTCTCTGGAATAAATTTACTATATGCATGTTTGTGTCAACTTTGATTCTAAGTGCTCAAAGTGTGTTACTGTAATTAAGACGCTACATTATGATGGGAAACAACCAGACGAATATGCTTAAAACAGGCCTAAGTCGTGTCCAGATCTTATTCAAGAATCATTCAAACTAGAATTATATTAATCGGTGCTAACTAAAAGCTTTGTGAAATTATCACTGTATGTGCGGTCATAGGCACATATTGAATACGAAATCATTATGTTTGACAGAATAATGAGGCCTATCAGTGTTTGCGTGGAGAATTAGAACAAGACATGCACGTCACCGTAGTTGAGAATGAAACGCTTTACTGCATTTTCTAATCACCGACACTATTTCAATACTCTGGAATACTAAATACATGAACTCACATTGTATGGATAAGCCAAACGATTTAACAAAAGGGAAAGAATTCCTACGAACGCAATGAAAACGATCAGCAGAGTGAACACCAACAACCCTTTGCCGTTCAATCCTTTGAGAATAACCGCTACAAATATGATACAGACAGATAATGCCAATGTTGCATTCAAAGTTATGAAAATAATTAGTGCGAACAGCTGCTTGTAAGTACAACAATATGAAACGGACAGCAGTAGGACCTTTAGAATGAAGTGTAGGAAAATAGATACAATCAAAACATTGATAAACATAAAAGGAAACGTAATAATTTTATATCGAATGTTTTCGTTATGCTATTTGGATATCACAGTGCCATTTTTCATTCTTTCACAGGTACTTTGTCACCGACTGATATGATTAGCAGATTTTATTGAGGTAACGGTATTTATTTCGTCAACAAACCCATTTCTAGTCAATCATCACCACGTACCTGTGACCGACTACTGAATGAATAGGTTGCACTTGTGGTGATAAATTCTGGTAACTGGGTTAGTCTCAGTTGGATCTGTGAACTGAAACACGTCTGTGAACATGAGTGGTTCCAGCTACACAGACATTTCACAAGTCAGTTGTATATGCTGACAGATTCCACATATGTGGTGATTAACCAAGCATCTCACCATACAAAATTGAAATCCAAAGTTCAGACTTAGATAGACAACGGGATTGTATTTTTGAAAGCGGGTGCTCACTTGTCTTTCAACAGTCCCCAAAGGGATGTCATTTAGGGCATTTAATTAAATTTATTGTCTTCTTGGATTCTGGTAATTTCACTTATAAATCGCTTCACCGATGGATGACTTCAATTTATCAAGAATCAGAATTTATCGCACATACAATGCCTAGTGATGCTTCCCGGTCTTATTAACGAGTGGACTTCCTGTAGTATAGTAGTCCATTAAACTCGGAAAAATTTATCAAACAACATTCCCTTATATATGGAGAGTGAGGAGGCATTCATCTGTGGATATCGTGGGTTAATCCCATAGTGAAAATATTCATTTGCACTCAAGCATTTCATTCCGACAACAAGTTACTTACAAACAGATGACTCAAAATTCAAGTCTAAGTCACACAGGATTGCGATATGTTGCATGCTGAATTTTCTGATCAACGAAATGTGATTTTCATTAGTTGTCCCAGTCAAGAATTACATCAATAATAAGTCTCATTTGTAGAGCGTTTTATAAGGGACAGAATTTTAGTGGAGTTTACTGTGTGATATTTTCCACTTATCCAGGATCTTCAAATGAATGATTGATTGACAGTAGATCGTGTGACATTGTGCTATCTGACCTGAAGCACAAACCAATCAATTAGGACATTTATTCTTTACCCCTACTTAGAGAAATACATGACGTTTCGTTGGATGACAAAAATGAAATGTACGGCAGTACAAAGAAAATTTGTCTTGTATATTGGGGTACTTTACATTCACAAGTATACTCAGTTTAAAAAGTTTCTTCGAACTAGAGAATCAGAAGGCTGTAGACACTTTGATTTTAATTACAATTGGCTATTTCTCTTATTATATTGAGTAACAACACTGGAGGTCATATTTTAATGGATGAAAATCATGTGAACATGCAATGTATTAATTGAACTGTTAAGTAGCTCGAGTTCTATACTGGTGTCCTTCTTAGCTGTAATTCTAAAATATTATGTCACATTCACTAACAAGACTCATATTCTCTCAATTCATGAATTGCTCACAATAATATATTACCAATGGTATATCTCCAATATGTTTGATCTGCTTTCAGTAAAGCATATATTGATCTTGGTGTGAAGTCAACTTATCCCTGATAGGATGTCAGGAAAAGCACGTGTTTCAAATACACATCTCATGTTTGTGCATGTTTGATAGACTTCATGATGCACGATATCCTTGGTTATTATGTTAAATATGTGTGTGTCCTCAGTGAATGGTGTAATCTTGTAAGCGTGATCATCCCATTTATTCATATGCCTCTCTCTTTCCGTTCTACTCACAAGTAAACGTTATGAGAAATATGGGAGCACTTAATAGCAACTCTCATAAATTATAACAATGAAACAACTAGAAGCAGACGGAGCAGTCTGCATCAAAAAGATATGAGGTAAGATATGTGTCATATACTCACTAAAGCTGTGCAGTAGAAATTATGAAGACGTGATACTTAACGGAAATCTCGATCACATTATTTTGACAACAATTTATGACAATAATATACATTACTAATTCACACTTACGACTATTCCAGTCATTATGTGAGCAGCATTAACGCTTTGACGAATTTTCTCGAAGAACAATGCAGTACAATACAAATCAACAGCAAGTAGGCTGAAATGAAATGTGAACAAAATTCAGACAATTTCAGATTAAGGAAATAACGGTGCTCTAAACAAGACCAGACTGGAAATTGAAATCGACAAAGTGTGTTCCCATCAACTACCAGTAAATAATGAATATTCAACACGTGACTTACGCGAATATGATTGATAAGTACGCTTTCCCGAGCAGAAGGTTCTGCAGAAACTGTCTACAAGTTTACTCAATAAGAACAAGAATTTCAATCATACATGCTGCCGACTAGGACCATCACTGAGATCATGATGAATAGCATAAACGAGATATCGATTGAGATCTGAGTGTCAAGCCTTGTAGAAGAAATACCAGTTTCCTTACCCAGGTTATGTAGCCTTTAAAAGTAATTTCAGCTTCATTGAAATTGAAACGTTTGGAGATTGTGTCAGCCATTAAACTCGTGTAGGCGATGGTACTCAAATTCTGCCAGCAACCAAACAATAAAGTTTCACGTAGTTAGCAGTGAAGACGAAAATCGTTCTGAAATATGGGCGAAAATAATCGAAGCAAACAATTCACCTGTTGTCAGTGATATAACTTAACAAAAGCTGAAAAGTACAATCATACGGTAATCTGAAACATCTGAAATGACTCAGGATCGTACATTGATGTAAACAGGAGAAGTATCGACATGAAGTTTTCCCATTGCTAACATATCAAGTGAACACGAATATGCTTCATTTCTCATACAATTACCGATTAAGTTTCCATTATGGCATTTATACGCATTTCTGTGTTATATAATCCATATTTATCTGGAGACACTGGCTATCAGAAAACATCAATTACCACCGAATGTATAAATAACAACTCTACGACAGCCATTAACTACCACACACATGCCTACATTCTACTCACTGCAGAACTGCTTCATATACCAATAATATTATTTAGGGAGACAGTTTGGTCTATATGCAAGTACATCAGATTAGTCATCCTATCATTTTCCACTAGCACAAACACATCCTCTAATCGACAGAGTCTATTTCAAAATACTGCAGATTGATCCAGCCAAACTGTATATACTGAGAATAGAGCTCTGACAAGGAAGTTGCGTCTGTTAACCTCCTATTGAGTGTTCAATTCATACCAGCCGGTTTCATGAAGAAACAAAAAAATATTTATTGAGAAATCAATTATTCACCTACATAACTCTGAATTTGTACTCGAAAAGAATTCATTCGTTCAACTGACCATTTTATAGTAATGTAGAGAAACTTATTATTCAGAGTATACTTTGTTCGAGTGAATATGTATAATATCAACATTTAAATTCGTTAACTATCTGAAGAGGAAATAAACAGCTTAGAGAATGTTTTCATGAACACTTAAAATTGAACTAATCAAAATATGAATTAAGAAGAAAGATTATTTTAAAATAATGATTACTTAACCAATAATATTTTCCTCGATAACCTCTTCATCAGGCTCTACCGTTATAAATTCACAATAATAAACGTATTTTGATTGGACACTAGTGCGATGTATCTAGTCTTTCCTTCGGTGCAGACTGAATTCTATCGGTCAGGTTTGCAATGTAGCCACCATTCTAGGTAGCTCGAGTGCCAACCAACAGAAAACCTAGGTCCAAAGCTTCCTGACGACTGCCTCCAACTATCTAATATAATCCAATTAACGCATTATTGTTATTGCTAGTTTTTCGGTTCTTTTTCGAAGTAATATCTCATCACTGATACATAAATTCCAAGAGTCTTCTCCATGTGCTTTCCTCATACAACAATAAAGACACTTTTGTAGCTATGTTCCTCTTCACTACAGAAGAAATTTAACAGTCACTCTCAGTCTGAGGACAGGAGTTCCACGTACAGAAGCCTTCATTCAGACGAAGTTAAGATTGTAATCGATATCCCGAAAACTTCATGATTAAACATATTCACAAGAAAGTACAAATTAACTGTTCTCTCTCCTCGTCAACAAGAAGCCTCTCAATTCACGACTTCAATGCATAAGGGATATACCAAGGAATAAAACAACCAGCAAGTTAAGGAAGTCAGTATAAACAAGTTTAATGCTGGTGAGCTGTGGTTGATATTTTGCACATGACTGGTTTTCATTCCTCAAATAGAAGGCGAACTTCACAGAGTAGCCACCCTATTTCCTTTCTGCCAGTCTTACTGCTCCTGTGGAGCCCGTTGTAGTTGTCGTTGCTGTAATAACTTAATGTTTGTTCCTGCGAAAACCTAGGTGTATGGCAGAATAAACGCGAAGTGAAAGGCAATCACCAGGTAGTTAGTAAACCTCCGGTGCAAACAGGTCTAGAATGAATGTATTGTTTGGCGAAAATCTCTAGATACCGACTAATCCAAAGAGCAGTGGCCAATGAAATTCGCCTGTAAAACAGTAGAGTTCTGTGTGAAAAAGAAGCAATTCCACTCAGTGTTTCTTTCCTGGTCTGCAGTGGAATGTAAAAATTCATCAATACTGTGTTAATTCTCACTTTACAGGCATGACCTCCAGTCCTGTATGCAACAATTTCCCTCACCATTTATTATTGAGCTTTTATACACAAACGCGCTGTTTTCTTATTTCAACCAATAAATTCACTAACACACTGACAAGTATACAAACTTCCACTTCATCATTGTGAATAGAAATCGGCAACGCTCGTAACCATATATTCGCTGTTTGATATTTATGATCATTTACTTTGGAAACGTTGTGTTAAATTTTGTGTTACGTTTGTGCATGTTATTACACACAGATGAATTAAACTGTAATCTGTTTACAACCCAGCTACATATGGCTCTTGGGGTGTTAACGTCAGTGATTCGATTTTAATTTCACATCTTATAAGTGTTGTCAATAACAGTAATACTTTAATTAATATGGATATGTTACTGTAGAGCCTAATGAGGAAGTAATCGAATTATCGTTCATTATTCCGTCTCCTTTAATCTCTAATAGAGATCTTTAACCCAATAATCTGCTTTAAAAATCGATAAAGTGTCAAAATAAGCAATAATGACATTCTATATGAAAGTATGTTCTTATGAGTTTGGACTGTTGATAAAATAAGGATGACTGGCTTCAGTAACTCGTCATACTTTGCTGATGAAAGCGTTTTTCAAGACATTCAAAAGTCACATCCTAGGTCTTAGCCCACTTAGTCTACTAACCAACCATAAGTGTAGAAAGCAGGGAATGTTTGGAGTGAAACTGCAACCTCTAAAAACCGCGAAAGGAATAGCTAATTTCAAAATACGTAAATCAACGTTAATTTAGACAATGTCAGTTATATAGCAAGATGCAGCTTGAGACTAATTGAAGTGAAATCAAACCTTCTACGTTTTCAAATGTCTGATATTACACAAACGCAAAGCTCTACATGTGAAAATCAGCAAGCTGCCAAGAGAAGCATTCAGGGATGATAGTATTTCAAATAAGCAGTGCGAAGACATCGGTGATGGAGTTGTCTGACCTGCAAGAACATTATCATTATTGTAAGTATAGAAGCTGATCACCGTGATAGAAAGTATTTACATATTAGATAAGTTCATTTTGAAAATCACACAGAGATGCAGTATCAACAACTTGATGAAGTTTCGAGCACAATTTATTGTTTAAAATCGTATCACTCTTGACGAGAAAATCTGAAGAATCCAGTTTTCAACTATCTAGGCATCCTCATCTCAATTACCGGTAGCATGGATTAAATATAGAAGGGAAATTCTTGGAATGGCAAGAGAGACCTTCAAACATCTGAAATCAGATTAGGAATCTGCTTCACTAAGCATGAAGAATAACATTCAGATTATCATCACAAATTTCCCATCAACGATTCTATGTGGCTCTGCAACAAACTTCAGACATAAGTCAACAGTTATCTCCCTTTACTAATGCAGATCAGGGGTCCATGAAGTATACGGACCAATGAATTCAGGGAACGAACCAACGTAGAACCTACCGGTGTAATCATAATATTAAGGGATAGGAATTTAATAAAGTATATCCTCAAACTTTTCCTGACGATGATGGAGTTTTTATAAAGAATATTTAGAACTTCTGTGTCTGACTTAATATGAATAATAATTTTAGTGTATGGTGGAATTATGGTCTTCTAGAATGCTGATTTCGGATAATTTCCATTTGAAATTCACTGTTATTCCTTTTCTTATCTTTTCTTTACTACTTTTTGATTTGTTTGCACTGTTATACTACTATATGCTGGGAAGTAGTACAGTGTTATTATTCTTCCATTTCTCTACCCTGTAACCAATATTATTCATTTTCATGAAAACTTATCTCATTGAATGCATTCACTCACATTGTAGTCTGTGGTATTTATCTTCCTATGGTTAAATGACATCTTCTTTATCACTTACCATTAAACATGACTAATGTGAATCACATCATTCTTGAACTGTATATTTGCGAGTTATTTAGTGTAGACCATGGGTTGATTTGGACATATCTCTGCAGTTTTTCTGACCTCTGTCTTCTGACAGTGTTTTTGACACCATTGACGTTTAAATATTCGACTTACCACTTCAATGTGCAAAATAGTATCATATTGTAAACAATTCCTGTTTTGGATTTTATAAGTAACTTATAACTTTGGTCTAATTACTCAGTTCGAATGTCTCTAAGGATTAGTTAGACTAATTCCATAACACTTTAGTGTGCCTTTGAACTCTTTTCTCAACCACCTTGACCGGAGGTAATGTGAGGTTTTAAGTAGACGTTGAAAACCCATATACCTGAGGTAACAAAGATATTACGAATTCGATGCTGGCTGGAAATATTCCACATAGCCCTTTTGCAAATTTCACGTTCGAGCTCACAGTAAGAATGCATTATAATTGAAGTGCAGTATGCATCATCAACGTATTAGACTTGTTATTGATTTCATTTCCTCATGAGCAAGCTGAAGATTGTTTCATACGAGCTCGCTTTGTAGCCGGAATATCCTCGGTAAGAACCCTTGCGGATGCGTACAGTAATGGAGTCTCGAGCGA